GCTCTAGTGGAAGGTGTCCCTGCCTGGGGCAGGGGGTTGGAACTGGATGAGCTTTAAAGTCCCTTCCAACCCAAACCAGGCTGGGATCCTGTTGAATCATAGAATCAACTGGGTTGGAAAAGACCTTTAAGATGATCAAGTCCAACCTTTACCCCCGCACCACCCAGTCTCCACTGAACCATGTCAAATGCAAGAAAGCCCTGCAGCTAAGGGGAGACCAGTTCTCATGGACAGAAGAATGCTGCAGCACACAACTTCAGATGCACCCTGCTACCTTTAGTGTGTGGTGAGGTGAAACACAACCAGCTGCAGGGGAGGAGCCACCTCGGGTTCACCAGGAGGAGCCCGTCACGGCATCTTGTCTGCTGGCCGGGCTTTGGCCAGTATCTCTGCTGCCGTGTGGAGCTCTCCCCCAGCATCAATCAGCGCCTGCAGGTTCGCACCCTGGTCCTGGAAGCCCATGGCGCTGAGCTGCTCCATCTGCTGCTCAAACATGATCTTCAGCTCCTGCTCGTCCACCTCCACCTCATACTCTGCTCCCTCCTCACCCACCACCAGGCTGGCGTTGTCCTCGGTCTCGGTGCACGGCAGCGAGTCGTCCATGCTCTCCAGGTCCAGCTCCAGCTGCGAGTCCTCCAGACTGAGCAGGAAGTCTGGTGCCTCCATGGACAGGGTCTGGAGGCCGAGTTGGATCTGCAGCAGCGCCTGCAGCGCCCTGGGGTTCCTCAGCAAGGATGAGATCTCCGCCTGCTCCATCTCCGGCGGCAGCTCCTGTTGATCCTGCAGCCGGGAGCTCCCGTCGCTGGGTGCGTGCGGGCTGCTCAGTACCACCTGCGCGGGGCTGCCAGGCTCTGCCAGCGCTCTGCCCAGGTTGTACATCAGCTGCGGGGTCCCCGTCAGCTGCCGAACCATGGCCTGCACTGCACCAGAGTTGGGGACCACGGCGCCCAGGTTCAACACAGCAAAGTTCTTGTCGACGCTTTCACCGGGGAGCTCTTGCGTGGTGCCACAGGCCCGGCCGGGCTCCAGAGCCCACGGGTTGGGCAGTGGGCTCCGGTTCTCAGTGTGTGCCGGCAGCCGCACTCCGCTCGGCAGTGGGTGGCTCTCCAGGGAAGCAAAGGGGTTGCTGACCATCTGCTCCTCCAAGGCATCCAGGATGGGCTCCTCAACCTCCCTGTAGAGCTGCTCCAGGGCACTGTATCCCCCAGGGATGCTTTCGAGGTTGTTCATGGCCAGGTCATAGTTCCTTATCATCTCCTGCATGATGGCAGGGCTGCTGAAGGCCTCCAGCATCTCTCTGATGGTGTGTGGGTTGCTGAGGATGTGACTGATCTCAGGGTTCTCCTCAGCCAGCTGCTGCAGCTGCGGGTTGGACATGATGAGGTCCCTGACGAGGTCAGCATTGACAGTGGGGCTCTGCAGCATCTCAGTCAGCAGGCTGGGCATGGATACATCCTGCTCTTGAATGCTACTCACCAAGTCCACCACGTCTCTGGAGTCCAAGCCCAGGAGGTGGACGCCTGTCACCCCAAGGAGAAACCCCAGCAGAAACATGTTGTTCCTGATGGTGTTCAGGTCCAGGCCTGAACTGAGGATCCTGGACAAGAGGTCCTCCATGGTCTGTGCCACAACTTCCTGGCTGGAGGCCAGCATCTCAGACAAGTTGTGACGGATCAAGCCTGGGTCCTGTAGGTCATCCATGCTTTCCAAGCTGGAATGGCTGTGGCTGGGAGGTTGCACCAGGGTGGTTGCTCTTCCTTGCTCTGCCAGGCTGTCTGGTGGTCTGTTCTGGGACCTGATGACCACATGGATGCTGACCCCGTTATGAACTCCGTGCTGGCTCAATGTGTCTTGATCCTGGAGGACCTTCCCAGCAAACACCAGGACCAGCAGCTTGGGGGGGGTTTTGAACCGCTTGGCCACTTCTTCCTTGAACTCCTGGATGGTGCTTCCCTGAGCAACCTCAAACTGCTCCTTCTGCTTGAGGGTCTTCACGATGACCTTGACGGTATCAGAGGAATCCATGGTGACGAGAGGTTGGCTCGTCTCTGCCGTCCCTTTGCTTTTGGACATGGTGGCTCCGAGAGCAGGGCCGAGCTGTGGCGCGTTGGAAAGGCGCTGGCCACGGGGGGCAGTGGTGGCGCA